CGTGTGGCTATAAACGACCGTTAAATGAAATGATGAATTTTTGAAAGATTTTAAAAACGGAAAAAATGATAGTCATGCCGGCCCAGCATCATCAACATTGAAAATGCTCCGGCATGAAGTGGTTAAAACATGGCTCAAAATAAGCTTGTTGGGTTAATAGGGAGTTTATGCCAAGGTAATGTGGCTGGGATATGAGAAAAATGGCAGACGCACTAAAACTGAACAGGACTTTGTATGGCATTTTTCACAGTTCAGCTGATTTCAGGGCAAAATTGCCTGCCTCCATACTGCCAATATCAGGTAAGCTTGTTCCCAAATCAGATAATAAAAATAGCATATCTAGACACAACATATATGGGCTCTGTGTAAAAGCACTCCCTTGCTCATAACACCCTCCCTCCCCGAGGCCCTGAATACCACTACCACACAATGTGCACCAATGCATGCTAACAAGGGAACATACACCACTGGCAGCTGACACCCCCCACCTTCTTTGACTGGGGAGGCTCCCCCACTTTGGGCAGGTCCTATAATGGTGTGGAGGTTAGGCTTAATAGATCGGTCCATTAACAGCTGATGGTTGATGGTCTCACAAATGGCCACCCCCTCATTCATCTTCGAAAATCACTCACTGACAAACACACTGTGACGTCTCCACACGACACTCTTGCCACAAACCAATGTAGGGTCTCTGGCTTACCTGCCATGTCTGGAGCCAGACAACCCTTCCCTCAACAGTTTGTGCATAGAGGTGATGCTATCTACACCTTGACCATGGATAGGAGTGTTCTACTTACTCAGATGCAGCCAACCGGTGCCATCGAAGGAGCCGCCGGGGTCCACTTCGTTCATGCTACAGGGTTGAACGTCAACCATGCTGGTTGGATTGCTACCAACAGAAGACAGCAGATTTTAATGATGGTCAATACTGACAGAAATGGTACAAGTACATATGGGGTGACTGGCAGAGAAGTGGCAGTGATAAAGGACAAGATGTCTTGCAAAACATCATTAATAAATCACATATGGATGTTCCCTCACTTGGTGGGGTGTGGTGTGGTGTGATATGGAATGCTATGCCTTGTGGTTTCCTTGCTAAAACACAGGAGCCCATGGAAAATTCAGCAAACTGAGGGCTTAATTTCAGTAAATGGGGTTGTGTCTTAAAACCAAAGTGGTCAAGCCATACACTTTGCCACCTTCTGTTCATTTCTATCCAAGAGTAAAAATGAACTGCATAATGGATGGCTTTAATCACCCTTTAGTATGGTATCTAATGAAACAACTATGTTGAAGATAAAAGAAGCCTTTGAAATATACATTTACCATCCTTATCAAACTCATCTCAATTTGAAAACTGCCCATTATTAAAAAGGTTTGAGCAAAGTAATAACAGCTAATGGTCAGACATTTGTGTGGTTTGCATGACGGAGTCAGAGATTAATACCTGAGGTTAAATATCAAATCAGGCGGAGCAGCAAACTGAAACTCCAGCATCCTGATGCAGCCGTCAAAGGGATTTGAAATCTAGGAGTGAAACACATCAGAAAGTGAACAATACCGGCAAAACAATTAGGGCTTCCTACTTGACAGGATGTATATTCACAATGCAGTGCCCAACTAGGCATCTGCTTAGAACAGGCCACTTGTCATCTTCATGAAGCTACTTATCTGAGACACAATTACTGCAGTGAAAGGACACTCATGAACTCATCGCTAAAATGAGTCAAAAATTATGTCATGTGTTGCACGATGATCGAATCCCTACAAGGCAAACTGGCAATGTCCAAAATAAGGAACAACGCAGGGCCAGTTCTCAAGCATGAACAACAGTTTCACCACTGGTAACCTGCTCTTTCAATAAGGTATGCCATCTTCACTTACATCTTGCCCCAGGTAACCAGTGTCACAAACGCACCCTAGGCCAATTATCAATGATTACTCCAACCATCCACTGCTCAAGTGATGTTGGCTAAACTACAGTTCATGGCAGTCATGACTTCAGCTTGCCTGTAAATAACCATCCCTTAGGCTAGTCCTCACTGCTGAGCTACAGGCACTCTTGCAATGTTTGTGCACAGGGTTCCATTAGCAACTCTTACTCACCCGCAGGTGGTACCCACTCCTTGCGATGCCAGGGCCAATGCCTCCCACATAGAGGTCAGTGTTGATGGCAATGCTGGACACGACAGAATCCAATTGCACAACATTTCTGCTGTAGTCCCTCGTCTTCTCTACCAGGATGGCCACAAAGTCATGGATGCGCAGGATTGTTACCTGTTGTCGATAGGAAGGTTAACCAGATTTCATGGGTTTCGTTGGGAGTCGACATTAAAGATCAAATTTCAACAGGCCTATTCCAAAACCAATATCTTTCTTGCCTTAAGTTGCTTACAAAATATCTGACAAATGGATATATAGGCCCTACTTTATGAAACTGGAACAACATGAAGTTCATGCATTAGTGTGACATTGCAAACAAATTAGTACTAAAAATACATCCTAAAGGATTCATAATCTCATAGTTTCATTCCTACTTTCATTCATTTTCACCCAATATATCACATTTTTACTAACTAGCCACTGATGGTCAGCATACTGTGTGTGAGTTTTGTTAAGGGACAAGATAAACCAGTACGGGTATCATTCAAGGCAAATTTAGCCAAATAATTATGAAACGCGCACTTCTTGTTTGTGTTTTAGATGTGAGGGTTCAATTTTTGTTTACTTTTCACTGGTACCTCACAAAACAAGGCCAGACGTCAAAGATAAGATATGTTAGGTGTGCACTTATTACAAGGAAAAAGACAATCAATTTGCAGATGTGTAATTGCCTTTGAACAAGTTAATACTGTGTGCTATAACTGAACTGTTTAATTATTAAATGGTGCCTCATTCCAATGTTAAAAACAAATCTGAGGGATATCTGATAGGAATTCTGCACAGAAGTACAAGGGAAGAGAGTCCATTTACAATTGCACAACTATGTTTGAACATGTGTGTATAATTAGCAATGTTTACCACAACTGAATGTTTCTGACATTTCACTGGTGTATCATAGAAATGTCTTTATAAACAAACAAGGATTGACAGAAAATTAGACAACACAGGAAAGTTAATTTGAATAACTGCATAATTTAACTCTCCAACTGATCCAATATTAGGCGGCTGCATCAAGCTCCCACAAAAGCACAACCAAAATATGCATGTTTGTATGAGGGGTCTACGATGTTGAATTGCAAGACAGAGGGTCTGTCCAAAGATAAAGCAGGAGGCTTGTAGTCCATCAATATGTTCGGTCCTAGTTTATGATTTATTCTCTTAGTCTCAGCAAGACCCCACACCACAAAATAAAAAAAGAAACACTTGAATTATTTTGTCTTATTGTTGGCCTTACGCATTAACTCCCTTTCAGTTAAATGTAATACCTTTTAGATGAATGTTAGAATGTAACTTTGCAACCAAATAAACACATTTTTGCTTTGTTATTTTCACATTTTACCTCTCAATATTTGAATTTCAAAAGGAGCTATTTAACCCCTTCTCGGCGGGAAATTTTTTCTGAAAGCCAACTCCAAGAATGCCAGCCTCGCTTGGCCCAGCGTGCTCTGCAGGCTTTGAATTACACGGTGAAAAGGCTGATTGTTCGGTGGCATGCAGCTCTACTCAAGTTTCCATATTCCCGTTGCCTCTTTTCAAAGCAGGGACTATTGTGAAGCTGGCGATTATGATGCAAATTCTTTCTTTTCATTTCTGGGCTACACACAAAGACCAATTACCATATACACAAGAGCCAGGGTCTGCCTTCTTTCACCGTGTTCGCTCGAGCATGGGCCGAGAATAATAGCGGAAAAGCAGGCTGAGGATCTCAATTTTTACGGTGTGTCTTAACGCGTCCTGGCATGAAAGGGTTAAATATGTATTAATCCATCACATGTCAACATATTCAGCACAGCCCTAAACACAGAGGCCTATGGGGCTTACCTCCTGCCAGAGTGCATTGTCATACCGTTCCCTGGTGGCTATGTTGAAACCAGTCATGGCTCTAGAGTCCGTCAGGATGTTAAAGGACAGCTTACCATCGATCATGACCAGGCCCATGAATTGCCTCGGTGTGGTGGGGCTGTTGGCTGCATAGAGCATCACACCGTCCGGGGAGAGGGCACGGAATGACAGCTTGATCACAAACCTGGTGGCAGCAACCAACCAAAAAAGGTGGAATCATGTGACCTGCAGTACATCATCACTCTTCAGCCTTCATCCTTGTCTTTTTATATATCAGCAATTCCAGCACACTGCATGTGCGAGCAAGTTTTGTGTGAATGGCAAGGCATGCAAGACCAATGTTCATTGAAATGTATCATCTCTGCATAAGCACACAAAAGCATGAACAGTTGCCCAACAGCCTCTCTCTACCTTGCTGACAAAAGGGTACTTGGGCATGGAACTGATTTAGAATCACCTATTCAAGAACAGTGCTGCCTGTTGAGGTGTAAGCTGGTAAGCCTGATAGCTGCTCGTTGTAACGCCAAACCTGACCGCCCCTGGGTAGGGGATGACCAGCGTGGGCTCTCTGCAGGTGGTGGGCGCTGCAGTACCAGTGGGGGCTGGGGAGGTGGGGTAGGGGCGTGGTGGCAACTCAGATACCGGTGGGGTAACACCGGACAGGTCCAGCCCGTGATTTGCCAGGACTATGGAGCCATCATTGAAGTTCACAGAGCTGTCAAAATACAATAAACAAGAACTGGGTCTAGACTCAGATGAAGATGATTTTGATAAAAAATCCCTCCTATCTGGTTCCTAAATATGACTTAACTTCAGTTCAAACCAGGCCCCCTGCTAATGGAACCAAAGAAGGTAATGCACAACTCGAATGGTAATGATAATGGTAATGCTCATCGAATGGAAGCTTGCAATCAGTGGGACATGCGCCTGTATAAACAAAGTCACTTGAGAACTGGATAAATTCCAAACAGAAAGCAATGTTTCCTCATATAACCAGGGATACAGATTGTGCTTAAAAGGATCTCCCATAATGATCCCCCATAGGGCACCCCACTGATAAAATCTTGGTTGCTCCCCTGGGTGGGAAATTATGATTGTCGAAGTACCAGCTATAAACTTGCTTTCTTGAATGTCCAACAATCATGGCCCCACTTCTGCTGCTTTTCATCAGGAAGAATCTCTGCTTACTTTAGCAGAAAACTCTCACTTACCATTACAAAACATACTTCACAGGTTGGCATTCAATTCTGGCTCAACCCCGTGGGCTTGTTTACCAACTTACAATTCTGCGCTTACAATGCTAGCACAAAATTTCTGCACCATAGAGGCTTTCCAGGGCTGCCATCTTGCATGCCAATGCTTTTGTTCCACAGGGTATGAACAAGGGAGGTATCCTGTTGAACAAAAGAACTGCCCTGCATAATGGCTACCACGCAAAGCCTCCATAGCACTGTGATGAGAACAGAATAGTGTAGTATTTAGTTGATTTATCACTAGACATTCAATAAAACATAGGAATGCCTAGCAATAGCCCCTATTTCACTTTCTCGTTGCTGGAAGGTGATGCATGGACATAATTCTACTGAGGGTTGACTTACAGTGAGTTGATCATGAAATCTCTCAGGTCTCCACTCAGGGACATGCGGATGGGGAACTCTCCGCCAATCAGAATGGGTGTGGTGCTAGGAACTCCGCCCACATACAGGTAGCTACTCTGTCCCAGTATGTCTATGCCTTCAGTCTGAAGGTGTCGCATGCTGTATACGGTGGGCAGGTCGTTCACCTTGAGTGAGGCACTGAGTTAAGTGAAAAAATAACCCCAAAACCAAGAAAACAAGAAGTGATGTCAAATCGGAGCAGGACCAGTGGAGCAATTCAAGAGAAAAAGCAACTGGAAATTCAGTCCTTGTTCATATGTTGAAATAAGAATAAGAATCAGGTTTAACTTAGTACTAATTCTTAGAGTGCATGTTAATGTTTGCACTGTTCAATGGGAAAAATGCAAAGTAAACCGGAAAACACTAAAAATCACACATATAAAATCAAAGAAAGAAAACCAAACCACTAATGATTCAAATGATAGAGAACATATTCATATTCAATAAAATCTAATTACGAAACTAATTTTACCAAGACTAAAGCACTGCTGCCATAAAACAAGCATGTGGAATAGATCCATTCGGGGGATTTTGGGGAGGTATTTCTGGAGTATGCTTAATTTATCATTACTAGAGAGTGGTCATCCTCCAAATCTGATCCTTGATACTTACGAGAGGCCAGTGAACTGGACAGTCACTTCTTGCCACTGTCCGGTGTTCAGACGAAGTCCTACCGTCTGCAGTGGCTCGGACAAACCCTCACCGGCATTGTACTGGACAAAGATGTTGCCATGGTACAGAGCAATGTAAAACAGCTTGTTCTGCCAAAAAAAATTAGGATTGTACATCAGTCAAGGAGCATAGGTGGAACTCAAAAGTTTGATGTGTAAACATGCAGGGATTTCCTATGCTGTTTTAATACACAGAGGACATGCTCTTTGGCCATTCACTGTCAGTGAAAAAACATGCTATTTTAATACAGTCCATACAAGTGGCCCAGAAAACGACCTCAAACTGAACAAAAATGCATACAGCAGGCTACTAGATACATAACCAAAATTTGATATAACATTAATATTCATTACTATCTGCCTCAAGTGGAAGCACCCCCTCACTAGTTTAGAAGAGCCATACTGACCGGGAGTATTTATTTTGTTGGTATCAACGTGACTATAGCGCGTGCATTTCATAGTCCTTTGTGAAACAGCTAGGTTCAGTTCCAACCAAAGGAACCTCCATTGCTAAGACTATTGTGCCCTCTCTTTGTCCAGCTGGAGGCTCAAACCTACAAGTACTTCATCAGATGCTCAACTTCACCCTTGACTGCAGCATCTGATGAAGCAGCTGTAGATTAAGAACCTCATTAATTCCAGCTTGTCTTGAAATGAGAAACTTACAAAGCTCAAGGTGCCGTAACTGTAGGCCAGGATGCCATGGGGCTCCAGCGTCTTGAAGAAGAAACTGATGGAACGAGTCCGGGCGAGCTGGAGGGGCAGAGATAACTGAGCAAAGGCCAACTGGCCGGAGAAACCAATGCCGGCTGTCACCTGGTCACACATGATAATAATAGTTTATATTAAAAATAATACTGGATGCTAATCATCCTGACTGAGCAAAGCTGACTTCTGAAGGATGTAGCTACAATGTAGCTTAGCTGTAGGCATACAAGAGTACCTTAGGAGCAACCAAATGACCCACATCTGACAAAGCCAGCCAGAGTTTCTATGTTAATTCATCAGAGGGAGGGAAAACTGGGGAACCTAATTTTTCAAGGCACAGGAGAAAACAAATGTAAACTCTACTCATGATTGGCCTAGGTTAAGAACCCAGGCCACAGTAGTGACAGGCGAGTGCTTTACAGCCAAGCCATTGATCCCAGCTATGGCAGTGTTCAGACTAGGCATACAACAGGCAGACGAGTATGACAGGCAAGTGCTTACAAGTACAAAATGCACGAAAGGCTGACCACAGTATTTTATGACTTGCTGATATTCCCCACTAAGGCCTGCGCTAAATTTGTCTGATTAGGCAAGAGAATATCATGTGTTAACAAAGTGTTTTCTCACAAACTGATCCTGAGTGGTCAAATGAGTTAAACAATTTAGCATGATGACACTTTGAATCTTTGTGTGGGAACAGAAATGGCATCTACAATTAAAGTGCATCTGATAAATTTCCCTCTCAAAGAACTCACATTAGCCCTGCAGCCGTCAAACGAGACACCCATATATTCAATGGCCGTTGTGTTTGTCAAGGGTCTGCTGACCATGCCTTGTGTTGTTCCGTTCGATAGCTTCACGTTTTTCATGCAGCCCGCAAAGCGAAGATTGGTCGGGCCCCGTCTTCACAAAAGAATCATGAACAATGTTAATCAACATTAAGCAAATTCGAGGAACCAAGGAAATGAAGCCTGAACATGAATTTCATGGAATACAGCCTAACAGAGTTGAAGAGCACCTCTAAGGAAAACATGTTTTCTCTGATTTTATTAGCTCAAATAAAAATGGAAGCATCTAAATTAAATGCAGTGTCATTTGTCTTCAGAATTCAACTATAACAAGCTAAAAAGGGTTTTTTCTGTTCATGTCAAGATGCAAATTCAGAGAAAAACAGAGAAAATGAGGGGAACCCTTGCCCTGTGTTCGCAGTGGATAGAGCCTTGCGCAAGATAAAAAGTCCTTTTTTGTTTGTTAAAGTTGAGCGCTGAAGACGAATGACACTGCATTCTATTTGGATGCTTCCATATTTATTTGAACAGATATAATCAGAGAAAACATGTTTTCCTTAGAGGTGCTCTTTAAAAAGGGCTACTTTTGAATTGCAGGGCTTTTAAACGTGCACATCTTCCACCACAAAAAGCAACTGCCAGTGACTATGTCTGCAAAATGTCCATTATCATAAGAATGCCAAAGTATATGAAACATCAAATGAAGAACTTTGCATGTTTTGATTGTAAAAAACATGAACAATGAGCAATCTTTAAATGATCCAGTCAAAATGCTTTTTTCACAGCTAACAAGACATGATTTCTCTCACAGGTGGACATGTTTATGTGAAACTTGCAATCACATTTTTGAACAAAGTGCAACCGTGCAGGAAATTTTGAATGAATTATCCCCACAATCCACAATTTAGGGTAAAAAATCCTCAATCCAGAAAAATCTTTGAAAACAACATCCTTGCTACAGCCCAAATCATTTTTGAGGCTTCTTCTGGAACTTCCTAAGTAACACTTTTGGATCAATTAAAAGTTTCTCAATTTTCAAAAACATAACGCAAACTTTGACTTCTCATTAAATACTGCCTAGACCTATTTGTGCCCAGCCATTCACAAATTTCAATCCATCATTCTAATCATTTCCAATTTTTATTTTATAATTAATGAATTAGCAGATTCCTCATTGTATTTGTCCAGTGTATGATGTGCCTTTATGTCCAACATCATTAATGTAAAGTAATTCAAAGCGTATGAACAAGTACACGTAACTCCGTCTTTGCAAATGCAATTATATCACCACACTGTACAAAACTCAGGGGATCTTGTGCCTACAAATATTACTTTTAAATAAATGAACTGCATTAAATGAACTGAACAAGTGCGGTGCTGAAAGACAGGAGCATCAGAAAGCAGCTTACATGATATCAGCGGAAAGCGCTGGATCGGGAGAGCCAAGGAATAACTTGAATGCATAACGCAGGTTGGGGAACCGCAGGAAAGCCACCGTTGGTTGCATGAAACTCTCTAGCACCGCATCTGTCTGGTTCGCGTAGCCAATATCCATGCGGTAGTGGGAGGAGTTGTAAGCGACATTCACCTTGTAAAAAATGACAGAAACTACAGTGTAAACTTTCTCTTTCTAGAGAAGGATGTGGGATAGATCACAGCGGGAGGCATTGGGGGCATAGTTGCATGGCTGGTGATCAATAGCTCTTTTCCATGGGGAACAATTGACGTGAAAATATTTTAATACGCAAGTTGGAAGTCACAGTGGATGTAGCGAGAGATGCAACCAAGGGTAAATCATACCTGACGATGGGATTTTGCAAAACAGTTCAACTGCGGTCACTCAAATGGGACTGTACTTCACTTGTACCTCAGAAGCACTTGACTATAGACCTAGCTAGCTCAAACTGGCTCTGTGATCAATGCACCCATTCATTCAAGATCAATTTGAAATTAGTTGGAGTATGTGGGCAATCATCCCAATAGCAGTAAATATGCCGTGCAGTAAAGCACAGGCAATTTTCTTGGGGTGTTAATAAGAAATTAAAATTTGTTAAAGGTACAGTCCATTCTTTTGCAGCTATCCAAAAGTAACTGACAAAATTATTGTTGAAAAGTATACTTGGTTTAAAGATGGTTATGTCTCTGTGAAATGATTCTTTATGGCATCTAAAGATACATTTTTGGAAATTTGCAACTAGAAGTGCACACAGGTTTTAACAGGACACACACTTGGTGTGTGACATCCAAAACTGCATTCAACTGAATGTAAAATTTATCCCATATGCTGAAGTCAGGTGTAATTCAAAACGTGGCTCTGCGATTTTTGATCCAAAATCTGAAATATACAGTATTCACTGAGCTGACATTTCATCAGGTTAGGCACCCTTCTTTAGATTTAGAGTAATTTGGTTGCCTCAAGGGAACATAATGCACAAACAACAAATGATGGCCTGTTACTTTAAAGCGATCTGGGGATAGTGCACAGCAACTCTCCAAGTGTCAAGTCTTACCCTGTACCACCTTGCATCATTGTACGTTCCCAAGGTCTGGAGAATGTACCTAGCGTTGCCCGCTGTGTTCATCTCAAACATGACATTCCCAGCTCGCATGAAGATCCCGATGTATGAGATGAGGTCAGGCCGGGTTACGATCATCAGGACAGACTCCGGCACTGAGGTCTGGAAGTCTAGAGAGATGCTTGCTGACTCATACACATTGAAGTCATCGTTGGGTAGCTAGAAAAGCCAGTCACAGAGGGAAGTTAGAACTTGAACACCAAAATTCACAATTTGAATTACCAAATAAAGCCCAACTGCTGAAAGTAATCCAGGTGAAAAAGTCCTGTTGGAAATCTCCTTATTACCAATTGTATTTGATTCTACAGCTGCTTACAAAGAGAACCTGAAAACAAAAAGTGGCAACAAAATGAGATTTCCTATAGAATATAAAATTAGCGTATGGAGCAAAAAGAGGGGAAAAGTACTTTCCTGTCAGAAAAAATCCTAGACAGCAGGGCCTACACACAATACCACCCACCAAAAGACTTAACAAGTAACTAAACTAAAAGAAAGTTTGTTATAAACTAAAAAAGAAGAGACTCTTAGATACAATTACAAAATTTCTGCCCTGTCATTATTTCACTGTCCTTAATTATAAATGGTTGTAGTCTGAAATAAGAGATCCTTGTACAAAAAGTGGATATCTTTTTGAAAGTTCTCCATTTCTTACTTTGTGTCTGTTGGAATGTGGAGTACAATCATGAACAAAATTGTTGGACATGTGTCAAAAATAGCTATACCCTTTCCAGGTCTCCCATCCCCCCTGGTCAATGTTGTCAACTCACGCTGGACCACGCAGTGAGACGCAACATTGAAGGGGGCCAGGGATTTGGGGGCACAATGAGATTTTGACACGATTGTAGGTCCCCTTTTCAGCACAATCTGGTTTAATAATAGCTAAAAGGGCTGAGATTTATACCCTGTAAAAGCCAAATCCTGTGAAACTTGCTCCAGGAGTGATGTCAGGTTCAGGGGTGATAACTTCGACTGCCCCCTGGCAGCACAGTGTAGATCCTTCCTGGGAAGTTGGGCGCCAGAGGTTCAGTTCCTGGCCGTCGAAAGTAACGTCCGAGATGCAGCCTACGAAGCTACGGCTACTGACCTTATTGGTCTGTAAAACAACCGATCAGTAAATAACTAGAGATGGTTTGAATTCCCAGCAATGTAACAACAAACCTGAACTCTCAGCAGCACGTAATGCCTGCTACATAAAAACTGTGACTGATGTATCTGTTTTTGTATGCAAAATGATTTATCAACACTGAAAGGGCTAGAGTTTCTGGTACCTGAGAAAGCTTGTTAAACTTCAATTCAATGCAATTTTGGGTTTTGTTGTACAGTCAGTTTTAGTTCATACAGTCATCAATGTTGACCCACACAATGAGCACAGTCAATGGAAAATTAACATTTTGACATATGTACCTGTCTTGCAAAAGATGTTAGAAAAGGGCATTTACTTTTTGCATAAGACTAGGGTACATATGATAGCTAGACATCAGTAGAAATAAATCCTAAAGACTTAGGTCGAGACAAAAATTCACCGTGACAGTATCTAAGACAATGAGCATTCGGGGCAGATTCTGACTTTACATGGGGTGAAATCAAAGAACTCGATTTGTCAAACTCCAGCATCATGCTTTGAAATATATCTCTGCTGGTCAAGTCCATTCCAGGCTTATTCACTCACCCACCTTGCACATGCATGAGCAAAAACGAAATGTAGACAGAAATGTAAAATGAGACACACCTGGTATGAGCTCGGGATGCCGCCAACATAGAATGACGTCTTATTGGGTGCAAAGGAGAAGTACTTGTCATAGGTGAAGGTGCTCCGGCCGTAGGTGGCAGATGCTCCACCTGTGCTCAGCTTGACAATGGACAGATGTCCCTCATTGGCATATCTGGAGAAATAAATGGAGATGCAATATCAAATGGAAATATATCTCGGAAGATACTACAACGACTAATAAGCATCTTTACGGATGCCAGAAAACTGGCATAGCACCAAGACATTCAGAGGATATGAGAGGAAATCCATTCAAAATGTCAAACAGAAACAATTATCACTGAGACATCCCTGAAGTACAGATACGAGCGTTTCATCTCCTGCAAGGAGAAAAGCTTGTAAAGCCTTACCTAGTACCAATGGCTTGATACCATTCCCCGCAGCACACCTCTATGGGACTCTGAATGGTGACCGCATCCCGATTGATGTTGAAGCTGAATTGCGCCTTTCCTGCCACCACTTCTACACTGTAGAATTGGTTGGCGGTGCTCTCCATGAAGAACACCAGACCATCTGGACTGTCCGCCTGATGACAGAAATGAGGCACCATTAGATGTGAATGAAGTCACTGCATACTGCCGGAGAATAGACAACCCTCAGCCTTGTGATCAGGGCCAGATTAAGTGTACTGTCATGACTGAAGGTCCAAGGTAAAAGTGCTCTGTAGGCCCTACTCAGCGTAAGTGCTGGTTAGTACTGTGGCCTTGTATTATCCATTGATGCTTAAAGCTGGAGCTAGTTTGAAGACAAAGAACTCAAAATGACATGCTTAAAACTTTTCACATGAGTGTGTGTGTGTTGGTGTTTATATTTATGGCACACCTACCAAAATTTGAGGCCTTCAAATGTTTTGCAGGCCTCAAAAGTTTTCATGCACCCTCAATGGCTGTGTCTTTTGGATAATTTAGCCCTGCCTATCATTGTTATCCAGGGAATAGAACGTGTGATTAAGCAAGGCCCGTGCCCAACTACCTTGAAATCTAGTTGGACCTCGTTGGACAGAGTGGACCTGCCAGAGTCAAGCTGAATTTCCAGTGATGTCTGGCCAGAGAAGCGAGCTGGCTGCTTGGTGGTGGCGATCCTGTCTTGCACGCGGCGCAGTTTCTCCCTGAGGCGTGCCAGGCGTTCGTTGATGGCACTGCGCATCTGTGAGGTCTCATTCTGGAGGGCTGTCAGGTTGACTGTCTTCTGAGAAAGGGTTACCAAGTCCGCCTCGACTTCACTAACTGTGGGATGATGAATGGTATGTCAAAGTCCAGTACTGGGACGTGGTTGTGCAAAACTCCAAAGAAAAAGCAATAAATTGTCTCATTCTGACACTCTGTCTCACAATGCACTGTTTTATTCCACCGTAATATTCTAGAAAGCATAGCTTTCCCTCGTTATCAAAAAGATCTTTAAACGGACAGCCATCAAAGATACTTGCTGGTAGCTGAAGTAGGAAACAACAGTTAGTCAGTGCTGTCGTCAATCCATCACAAGTCATTCCACAAGTCTGGTCACAAGTTCTTTAACAAAACCTGTAATAAGCAACTGAGTGAACAATGACAAAGGAGTGCTCTTGTCACAGTTCACTTGAATACCTTGTGACTTGGCTTAAGAAAGGATGGCTTGAGATGGACTTGCAGGGACTTGAGACGGATTCAACTACAACAATGAAGACATTATGTTCTATAACCAGAAAATGGATACATGATACAAAGTTAAACATGAATGGACGTGATCTTACAAACGTGCATGTAGGGTAGCATACCTGTTCCAGGGGTTGTGCCAAGTAGACTTGACACATTATTGACAGTCTCTCGGATAGCCTCAATGTCATTCTCACTATCTGTGAGTACATTGTCCAGAATCCGTGTGTTGTTGAGGGTCACACCACTTACGCCAAGAGCCAGGTTAGCCGAGCTGAGACCCTGGTCAATAATTGGCTGAATCTGTGGATCTGCAATCAAACAGCAATACATACCAAAGGCATTTGACTGAATATACCACTAATTTCCGGATAAGTACACGTCAAGGTCTGGGAGTCACTAGGCTCCATCTTGGAAAGTCCACAGTTTGCTCACATGTGTGATGGAGACTGTCCAAGAGCCTCAAGACTTCGGTCACAGTGGGCCTTTTCATTATAAGTGGACCCAACTTTCTATTCACATCAGGGACATTAACCCTAACACTCCTCAGTCCTCCAACAGGTGAAGGATTGAGGAGGGTTAGGGTTAAGTAAATGTTTCCTATATCTTTATCCCACAAACTCGTTAACTATCACCAGTACTGCTCTTGGGGTATTAAGAACATGTATAGAACGCTGTGCTGCAGACATTTTAGGGGCCAAAGAAGAATAATAAATGAATAAATTTGTGGAGGACGGTGATGAGCGAGCGAGCAAGCAAGCCATCTAGTCAGTATACAAAGATCAATGGAAAAAGGACAGGCAGGGAATATCAATTGTCAAGAATGGATGAATGGGTACATTTCATGTCAGTCATCCCTACAACTTGCCACATGAAACACAATTACTTCAATGCCTAAACAAGTCAATTTGGCACGGACTGGCAGACCTTTTGTTGAACTTATTTATTACTTGTCTTTTATTATTCATTACTGAAGGAAAATCTTTTTCAAACATGCTTTTATGTACCAACACTTTGACAAGGTGTAAAGGGTTACGAAACATTTTAACAAAAATCAGTAGAAGATGTAGTCTCCTTTTTTACCATTGGCTGTTTGTGAAAGTGCATTGGCCTCTTCTTGAAGAGTCAAGTAACTGACTGCAATGGTGTCCCATAAGTCCTCAGCAGATACAAGAGTCTCATTTGCTGTCAGTAGGGATCTCTCCAAACCTGAGAAAATAATTGCATAACAAAAACAGAACAAGAATACATTTCAAGATGGTCTCTAAAAACAATTTCTAATATTGCATTTCATGGCCAAAAACTCAAGTTTTTTACAAGAAGATACCGCTGCCAGAGTTCATTTGAGTTGGATTTTATAAATGATGACTCTTGCAGGTCACTTGTTTCCAGATTTGTGTCAAATGTCTGACTGTACTGTCATGTTTTCACAACTCTGACACAGAGCTGCACAGCAATACACATTTGGCTGTGGCACGGGAATACTTGAGAGGGCAACACACACGTCCTTGGTCTTATTCCACCCTATTTGTGTTTACCAAAAGCGATGGGAATCACTGAAACAAGGGAACAGGTCCTCTCGTGCTGCACACAGGAATTGCTACAGTGTATTAACAAGTCCCCAGTGCACTGTCACTGAACATTTGTTACAAGTTTACACAACCTCCTGCATTAACTTGTTAAATTTCAATTTGTTATTCCAACTCGTGTAATAAACAACGAAAGATATTTCAGGGCAGCCTGCTCCAACAGAAGAGCACATCATCAGGATAAAGTACCTGCTACATCAGTGTTCCTTGCGTTAATTTCATTCTCCAGTGCTACGCTGCGTTCGCGGGATGTACTGGCGTCCTCTTGCAGTGCAGCCAGGGTTCGTACCTCGACACTCTGCTGTGTGGTGCTTATGCTGGCATTGGCTGCCTCAGACATCAGCTCGGCTTCTGTGATGGACGACACTGCGGCTTGGTAGCGCTGGACCACGTCCACCGCTTGCTGGCTGAGGGCACTGGCTCCTGCAAACAGCCTGGTTAGGTGGGGGGGGAATGTTTCAGTGGTAGAGAGTGAGATACAGTTTGAAAGAGGTACTGGGAGGGATACGGTTTGTCATTTCAAAGGTCAATTTACCTATATTATGTGAACTATCACCAATAATTAACAATGTGAAGTATTATCCCTTCCCGATTCAATGATGACTTTCCGCAATTTCTATTTCCCTCTTTCAAAATTTTGAAATGTTATTAATCTCCTTGGATGTAAAACATATGGGTGTGTACAAGGAGAACTACCTGTGTATACAAAATGGCACAATTTTTGTCTTTTCTGTGCTTCTTGGTGTCAGATACTTGGAAGTCTTTTGGCTCAGAAATTTGCCCCCCCCATGAAAAGTCGTTGCGCTCCACTTGCATTTCGGAAACAGTACATATGCATATCCTGCTGTGATTACCATTACATACATGTATATGTCCAACATCTAGTCAGCCCCCCCCCTCCCACTTTAGCATGAAGCCCCCTGCTTATCCCATGCTCAGAATCCTGGCTATACCATTGTTGCACTATATGGAAGTACTGAGGCTGGTGTTTCAATGTTAACCACTTGCTGCTGGAACCCCGTTTTGAACACCATGGGTTTATACGCATGGCCGGTGTGCCAGAAATGGGACAAAAGAGGTGATCCGTGTAAAAAGACCGTACTTGGCACAAAAGACCTGCTGCTGGGAATTGCCACCATTTTTCAGCTTGAATTTTTCGAAGGTAATCCGTCACTGATTTTAAATAGTATACCAAAGCACCGAAGACAAAAGTGCTCCAGGGCCCTATTGATGAGCGACACAGCACCGCTGCATGCTAATCAAGCCGTGTTTGAAAAAACGCCACCTGCATTCACTGGGGACAAAGGAAATTACACAACACCTCGAAATTCTGGGCTCTCTTTACAGGGCGGCAGGCCTAGCTGAAATATTCAGGAGTCAATGAAGGTCACCTGTCTGCTTAGAGTAGCCATCAAGCAGTCATTCGTGTGGGTGTAAATGTCCATTAAATGAAATGATAAATTTTTGAAGAATTTTGAAATCTGAAAATCACCCCTATGTGTACACTGCATTTTTAAAAGCACCTGGCAGCAAGTGGTTAAAGATGATTGCAAACAGTTCAAATGCATTTGTAAAGTGAGCTGCTTCAGCTGGCAAATTTTAAATTAAGCATGGTAAAACTGTAGGGAAGTGGGTACAGGTTGAAATGGACTATGCATAGGACATGTTAATAGAATAATCCACCCTTCATTGTTACCATTTTTTTTAATTACTGTATTAAACCCATGCAGGCTTAATTTTCTGCTGGCTTGATGTTTATTCCTTGAAGATGATCAGATGAGCATACCGATCAAAATGTTGAGTCTCAAGTTACTGTTTCTTTTCAGAATTGCACATCTGCCCAAAAGAGATACTCACTTTGTGCTACCACATACCTTCACTAGTTCATACAAGCACCATGCAAGTTTTCAAGTATTTTATCATGAGGAATTTAAGGAATATTATATAACTCTGCCATTACTAGGCAGCACAGTAATCCGGTGCTTGGAATGGTCAGTGGTGAGGACACACCTGCTTGACTCTTGTGCCACTGAGGTAAGAGAAAGGACATGGTTCTCAGCACTGAGGACGTTACTCTCAATGACTGGCTGCAGGCTGGACACTGCTGCGTCTGCATTCCTTGCAGATGAATGAGTATTGATCCAACCATTCTGACCTGCAAGACAAACGAAACAAGGGTCAGTTAAAATTCAGACCTCCACTCAAGAGAAGTGTTGTTTTCAAGAACCCAAAAGTTTTCCTTAAAAAAGGAATTCTTAAAGAAATGACACCAGTGAGTATGAAAGCGCTATAGGTCATTATTGCAGGTACTGCAGAACAAAATGAAGATTTTATGGTCTGATACAAATAACATTTTTGACAGGTTGCCAACAGACAATTTGGTCATTTTTCAAGCAGTACATCAGATGAAATTTTTACTGATGGCAGTGACATACTACATGTACATGCCTAAAATGAACTACAACATTATTTAAAAACTATTTATTAACACATGCATTCCACGAGACACTTCACGGATGACTTTGAGGCAGTAATAAAATGTGGTCATTACAAGTGCTGAGTAAGTTCATGATAAATTTAGGATGATTCTAAATTACACTAGTCTGTAGGAAATGGCCACATCCCACATGTAACTGGTAGTTTCCAAGGGCACAAGTTACCATAATTTTCAGAATGTAGGCCATGGCACTGAAATACGTCCTTGCGGATTTTACTCTGGACGGCTTAAACCAGCAATATTTGAAGAATGAAATCAGTATGACGCCGCGCCTCAGCACAGCCTGGCCCGGGCTGCCAGCCAGCTGCCCAGCCAGCCATGCATGCAAACAGCGTGGTGCTCTGAGGACAAGGCAGTCATGTTTTTGTTGGTTGCCATTCCCTCTACTAACTTGTTGGAAATAAAGGTAACCAGTCCAGTGGGACTGAATAGACTTGTAAATGTACCGTAAGTACATGCACTGATCTCAGAAATCGTATGGTGCATCTGTTCTGTTTTGTCTGTTTTATGGTTGTGTAATCCATGTTGTTTTTATTACAATGTATTTCACTGGTCAATTCGTGACTGTTTCAACAAAAAGAACTGCCCCAGGGCCTACCCACAAGGACGCTCATCCAGCCCACCAAAATGGTAATTTTAAGGACTGAAAATTTAGCCTTAAAACAATATCCTTACACTTGACGATTGCGTACCTGAAAATGGCACGGATCCTAATGTTGGGCTCCTTGAATTTTTGCCTCTAACCTTAGTGTATAATACAGGCGATTCACAGTAGTGTGCCTCAAAAGTTTGCAATGCATTGGCCAATCACAACATGCAAAATCTGTCAACCCTTTCCAAACGTGCATTGGGTCGACATATTTCATGCACTGCGATTGGCCAATGTGTTGCAAACTCTTGGGGGCGCACTATTGTGAAACGGCCACATAGGATAAAAATTTTACCTCCAATTTCACAAAAGGTGAAATTTAATCAAACTCCAATATTCTGATTCGTAAATCTCAATTTCACATATCCACTACAAAGTTCTGATGAAATTTTATTTATGCCCAATTTTCCCTTTTTTTTGCAATGTAAAATGAACTATTTTAAAATGCGTCCCAAAATAATTGTTAACGATTTTTTAGTTGGGTATGTGGGAGAGAATAGGGCAGACATCAAAGCCCACAGTTCTGGCGATAAGATTTTCTGAGATTACTTGAAGTTCTCCAAGTTAGGGGAAACTCAACTGAATTCTTGCCTAATTTCCACATGCGGACACGTTGGAATTTTGGAAGAAATTTTATGACACTGAAATTGTTCACAAAGGATCAAATGCTTGTATCATGTCAGGCAATAGTAAGAGGTTTTTGCAGCATTATTATGAAGAAAATCAAGAGAAAATCAAAGAGCACTAGGCAATGCTCTACACAGGTAATAGCACTTCAGAATGCAGCACATGTGATGACTTACATGGTTGGACATTGTCAGCACCTTGATGCGGTGCAGAGATTTTTGCATTGTGTGGCTTATACACTGTACGGCCCATATTCCAAAAAAATATTCAGGAATTTCCAGCCTACCCATTTTGACTAAAGACCACTGTTAATAAATGAGGACTTTAAGCAAATTGCCACCATTCAGAGTATTCTAGTAATGCATTATATTAGGTACCTGAAGTACATTACAGTTTCACCAGCATTACATAGGGTTGTGGTTCAAAGAAAAAAAGAGAAAAAGGGACATTCAGTCAAGCTAGCTTGTTTGATAAAATGAATAAGCAAAAAGATTAGTACTGTGGATGGTCATGGCTCAAACCCAAAGGGGTACTTTATCCTTCCTTAAGGTTATTTAATTTCCAACCCAAATTTGTAGCCTTGAAGTTTAATTCAGAAAGATAACAGTCACTTTGACCCATCATCATCCTGAGCTTCACTGATTAGCTCGGCACCCATTACCGGCATGCTTTGAAAGTGAGCAAGTTGAACAATGACTTTATGTTGCTGTCCAAAAGCTGTGTGCTGTCTAGCCAAGTAATCTTCATCACCTCACCTTCCTGATTAATGCTAGGGTCCACGGGCACCCCAGGTGAACCCGCAGCTGCACCCTGCCTGATGGTATTAGCATCAGCAAAGGCCTGGTCCCCATCGGATATGTCGGTTCGGCTTGCAGTCAGCATGGTGTCAATCCTCTGAAGAAGGTCTTGAGATTCTGATAAAAGCTGGCTGGAGTAGTTCAACTGAGTCTGTGTGAATGAACATGGAAATAGAATTAAGATTGAATATGGAATTAGAAAGGCAGTTACTAGGTTTTTGTTCATGCAATCTTGTACAAAAGGTCCACTCATGCATATCCTAGCAGAACAAAAGCGTTGTCCTCTTTTTGGCGGTAACAAGTCCATCATAGGTCTGGTGGGGTCCTTCAACAAACTAGGTCATAAGCAGGAAAAAAGACAAAGGGATGCTTTTGTCACAATTCACTTGAATAGCTTGGAACTTGAACTTGGCTAATGACTTGATGACTTGCACTACACCTGTGTTGAACTTGCATGGACTTGACTACGGCCCGATCTCTAAAAGCCAGATTCTGAATCCTGGGTCTAAATCCTAATTTGCTCTATTTTTTTCAAGTTCAAAAAGAACATTTCTCCAGTTCATAACTGAAGATTTTCTTCTTCATTTAGACCTGAAGAGGAGTGATTTTCAACCCAGAAATGGGTCTAAGTGAATCCAGATTCTAATTCTGGGTCGATCTGGTCTAGCAGTTTTAGAATGTAAAGTCCACATTGAACATGGAATGACTGAATCCAAATAGGGTTTCTAGTAATGCATGAATGCACTGCGCAAACTGCTGGCCAGACGAACCATCATAGGCCAATCGGTTAAACGTCCTGCACAATGTTTCAACAGTTATCTCTGTTACCTTTGATTGGGGGTCAAAAGTTTTGGATTACATGTTGGAATATCATCAATATCCACCAAAAGCTTTCTGAAAATTTTATCTTTATACTACAATACACTGCAACTTGGACTTACTTTGAGAAAAGTGTAGATAACACACAGACATAGAAAGAACAGTAGGCTATGAGAGACCCAGAGAATGACTTCAACAAGCTTATCCTAGCATTGCTCTTTTATGTACAATTTATTTTTACACAAAAGTTTGACCAGTCAGCTGTGACCCTGTTGTGCAGAACTACCAATGAGAAAAATAATATGTTGCAAGGTGTGTTTTGTGCCACTTTTACTTCACAGGATGTGACAACTGACTTGTGATGTCTTGGAATCTCACCTCGATTTGAGTAACAACGGATCCAACTTGGCTCAGAGCATCTTCAACATCATTGAGCAAGGTGTGAGTATTGGTCACTATCTGCATTGTGTCCATGAACTGTGTTTCTGCTGAAACCACCAAGGTATTTAAGGCATTGCTTGTGGACGACTGCAAGGAAAACCAACACTGTCTTCATGGAGGCAACAATACACGTATAAACAATAGCCAACAATACACGGGAAAAAATTCAGAACATCACACAACTCTGAAACAATGTTTGTCTTTCACACTAATCAACTCTGCCAGTTACGCAGTTTTATGTCACACAGAGATCAAATCTGAAGGAAACAGCTGCAAATGAAGAACTTTTAAAAACTTTTATTTAACTGTATTTTGGAAGCAAACACTTTATTCCGTATTTTGGAACTGTAAAAAAACGGCCTATGGCAAACCACATGAACCCCACCCTCGTACTTTTGCTCAAGACAGTGTGCACCCAGGAAGGATTTCCCAATTGCTGTTCAAACACACTATGACACAAATATGTTGATGACTGCCTGGAACCGAGCACATTTTGTTTTTCACACGCCTAAGGAACTAGGGTCATGTCCAACATCACATTAGAAGATTTATAATTACTAACTTAGGGTGGGAATTAAACACACTACAGTGCTCGGATATCATTAGGTTAATAATGCGTCATTTATCATAAAGTTTGAAGGGAGGTCATGCACAAAGTGTTATCCACAGATGCAAAATATCCACTGTCTGACCAAAAGCTGCCCCGCTCCCTGCCTACCTGTGACATGATTAAGGTTAGTAATGCCTCCGCATCCCGCGACACATTCTGGCTTCTCGCCAACTCAGCCCTGATCATCCTCTCCTCCGTTTCGAATGACACCAGCACCAGCCTGTCCAGCTTGCCCTGGGCCATGCCAGGCAGTAAAGCAGCCGTTGCATTCCAGTTTTCAAGGAGGTCCAGGTAATCCAGGCCTGTCTGGTTAGTATGCGAGACACCGGCCAGAACCGACTCGGCTTGGGCCGACAGACCCTGGACACGTTGCAGTTCTGATGTGGCATTGTTCAGTAATGTCTGAGAGGCCTCCATAGCTTGGCCCACCTGAAATTGCATTCAATATTTGTTGTTTTGGAATCACAGGTTTAGACGTTATTTGCAAAGGGCACGAAGACTTTGCAAAGGGATCAATGCTTGGCTTTGAATGAAGATAATTATGCATTCTTATTGCTTGCCTGGAGTTATCAAATGCCAGCAATAATGGCTGCTGACGTATCACATTTAATGTCCAAACTGTCAGTAAGTTAAAGTTCCATTCCGTTTTCTCTACAATCCTTTATACCAAGGAAGGCAACTTAGATCATTATGCAGTGAGCACAGTGTTCACGTTCAGTCAACAGGTTTTGACCAGTGGAACAGGCCTTGGGGATTTGTATACCTTTCAAATTGTGTGTGCACATCAGCAGAGGAAGAGGGGGCTGGGGACATTGTCCCCCCCTTTGAAAAGGCAGTTATTTGCCCCCCCCCCACTTTATAGGCCTACCAGCCATTGGAGGTACATTGCAACTTCATAATTACATTCTTTTCAGTCTAATGGCCGAGGCTTGCCTCCCCACTTTTAAAACTGTTCCATTGCTGTTGTGTGTGCATATCTTGTTCTTGCTTAGTATTGGCATAGGATCCTGTTTTTACCTTGAGATATAAGATGTATTGTTCATGCTTGTTCTTGTAATTTTGTTGATGTTTTAGTAATGTTTTGAAAACGAACACAAGTTTGCACAACGTACCAGTGTGACCAGGCCGTCAACCTTTGACACAATCCCCTGCTCATCTATGTTCTGGACCTGGCGCCTCAGCTCGGCAAAGCTGGTCAGGGTGTCATTCAGCTGGGTCACTCTCTGAACAACCTGAGGTCGAAGGCCTTCCAGCTCGGCATCCCGCTGCTGCAGCTCGTTCAGGAGGCTGGCATGTTCCCACAGCAGCATCCACAGAATGTTGAGGCTGACGGTGGAGTTTTGGAGAGTGTCAACACACTGGTCACACTCTGGTAATTTAAAGACCAAGGCATCAAGTTTGTTTTATGCTAGGATGACATAAAAGTGACACTTAAGTTTGTGTTCACAAATTCACTACGGATCATGTACTAAACCAGTTTACACCAGAGGATGTGTAAAACAGATTAGGTTATCTGTGTTCACACAGGGAGCAAATGGGTTAAACTGCCAACTGATGAATGACCAATGATGAATATTTATATACATGTACACCTAACCTCCCCTTTAGTTACAAATACTGAACATCCAAGAAACCTGAGGAGACAGACTGCGCACTGTAAAAACATGAACTTCCACAACTGTACACGGACTGCTATGTATATCAGTCCATGGTCTACAAATACTGCACAAGTGGCATGAAAAAGTAAGAATTTTTTGAAAAGTTGACCAATATTACTCTATCTGGCCTAGAACAAAAGTAGAAGTAGACTTTTAATAAAAAAAACAAAAACATCATCGGCCACATCACAGCTTACACCTACAAGTGCGAGAAATTTCAGGGTGTTTTAATTCAACTTCCTCTACTCAGAACAACCGTAGATACCCAGATTGTCAAGGAACATGACAGAGTATCAAGAAAGATATGCTGAATTACAGTTGGATTCTTAAACCATGGGTAGGCATTGAAGGGCACTTACTACTACATCCAGTGTCAGTAAAGTTGACATATGTTGGCAGGCACTGGTCACAGCGGCGCGAGCCCACACCAGGCTTACACGGACACTGACCACTGTAGATGTCACAAACAGCTAGAGCCCCACCCTCAGAGCCCCTGACATCACAGTCACAATCTATAATGGATTGTGAAAGGGAAGTAACAATAATCACAATATGGATGCATTAGAGCAAAGCGCTGTATTTCGCCTAACATCGCTAGGTGCTTTGCCATTGCAGTAACAATATCTCCTGGATTAGTCTGTAAGTCTGAGTGCAAGTTTGAGCTATAACTAGTTTGCTGTGAAAATGAACACAATTGCGAATTTTTGATGTCAGATCAAGTATGTGTGCTGCGAATTGGCAAAAGTTGAACACATTTCAACTTGAGTGAGAATTTGTAGCAAATATTTTGTGACGTCAATTCAGTTCAATGTCATATTCGCCTTTACCATGAACCAGCCTTTATCCAATGTCACTTAGTCGACTATTTGGAACCACGCCTGGGGTAAAGGTTGCACCGCCGGTTATCAAAAGCCAATTTTAGACCGAGAGAGCCATTCACATGAGTATTTTTGTATGAAATGCAACTGACCATGAATACTACCAGAGTTGCAGCCAATAGCAAAATGTGAGTGACATAGAGAATTAAAAAATAGTTTGAGAGTAATTCACGCCCAACATTGCTTAAAAGCATCACATGATATGCCAAACTAATTGGGAAAAAACACCCCCCCCAAAAAAAAATAATACCAAAAAAGAACTAGACATAAGTATTCTGCCCATACCTGCGCATAGTTGCTGGGGAAGCCCATATCTTCCCACCATGCACTGGTCACATTTGATTCCATCAACGTTAGCGCGGCAGGGACACAGGCCATCCTGTCCACACTGAAGGCTGACGGAGCCAAACTCATTGCAGTCACAGGCCTGGCAGCCCTGAGAGGAGAAGTTGTAGAAGTTGGGCAGGCAGACGTTGCAGCGACGATCCCCAACGCCTGGGCGGCAGGGGCACTGGCCGGTGGAATGGTCACAAAGGTTGCCACTGGAACCGACAGGGTCACAGTTACAATCTATGGGCAGTTTTACAAGACAAAAAAAAAGATGAATTGGCTTTCTTCAAATCTGCCTTGAGCTGAAGTGCACCATCATTGGCACAAGGGAGCAACAGCTTGGTGGGGGGAGAGGAAGTTTCAACCAGGCTCCCTCAAGCACCTGGCTTACACAAGGAAACCACACCTTGAAGCAGAAATTGTTTAAATGACTGTTGGACTGTTGTTGTTGTTGAATGACCCTCTCTTGTTCCCCCTCAGAGCGGATGGGGTGCTTTCACTCATCCTTGAGACACAATGCACACACCCCCATGTTGAAGGCAAAGACTGCAGTACCACACACAGTATTCATGTATTAATCAAGCCTTCAAAGCTTTGATAAACGATAAAAAGTATGAGAAATACGTGTATGTAGAGCCACCACCTAGTGCTGGAGTGGAACAATAAAGACAACCATACATGTACATAGTACACATGGTGACCAATCCCTAACAGTCCCAAATCCTCTGATTTCATTATGATTTTACATACACCCTAGGGGTTACGGTTACGTCACCTAAGAAAGAATTTGTGGTTATTTTATGTGAAAATACATGTATGCTTTAACTGTCCAGTTTACACAGTGCATGTACACATCCTCACCAAACGCTCCCCTATAGAAATGGTATCTGATCTTGGGAAAATCAAGTTGTCACATGGTCCTTTCACATCTTTTTATCAGACCCTATTAACATTTTGAACCACTAGATGGATAAGAACTTATTCCAGTGGATTGATAACTGGATTCTGGACGGCACAAAAAACAACTAGGAATTTCTCCATCATTCTGAGCATATCTTATTCCACATTTTGAACATTTGCTGAGAAAAGCAGCACACTAAGTTTGCAGAAAGTGAACTTCAGCTTATCCAAACCTGAAATGCTCATCCTTACATCTGACATTCTTTTCTAATAGCCTTTTGCAGTCTCTGATTGCTTCATCTTGCCTCGCTTTAAACAATATTCTAATTGTGAAAAACTGCTCCAGTCAGAAAGTAAAATATCCCTGACAAATCATGTTGAGCATGGTGAACAACATTCTGTAGGGTTTGGGATAAAGTTTGGTGTTAGTGGCCAACAAGTACACTGAAAGGACAGTTCCTTGTGTAAAACTAAAGTCAAAATGTGCAGGGAAAACATTTTGAAGAATAAAGATGCAACTGTCACAAACCTTGACAGTTGCGCACAGATGCATTTCCAAAGGTGAAGTCCAGGCACCTCTCGCAGTTGAACCCTGTTGTCCGTGATCCGCAAGACAGACACTGGCCTGTGACTGTGTTGCACTGATCCGTGTTCCCGTTGCAGAAGCAAGGTGTGCAGAAGCCGTTAGGGAGATGAGGCTCACCATAGTGGAATACATCACACCTGTAGAAAGGAAGGAAAAAGATTGAAAGAAAGTGAATCACCAGTTAAATCATTCCATGAAATTGACGAATGACTGGTGACATTTGGGTATTTGTAGTTAAAGTGAAACAGCCACCGAAAGTAACTGTTGCTCCTAACGTTGCTTTTGACTCTTCCTCTGCTTCTCAAATATTTCAGAGCATTTTGAAATTGTTCAGTCTGGTATTTTAAAGGAAACCTGGATTCTGGATGTCATCGGGACACCACATTATTGTTATCAGGTTTGGTTAATACTCTGATTTTTACACCAGATTCCTGCAAATAACGAGCCTAGCACACAGCTAATATGCTTCTAACTTGAATTTTGGAAATTTAATCTGACATTTTACAGCCACTCAATGAAATCTTTCAATTTACAACCAAAAAAGAAAAATAACAGTATGGGTTAATTGATTGATTTTTTTAGAATATCACCAAGACTTCACAATCACATTAAACTTCCAAAAACAGTGCATTATAACCAGTTTTCCTTTAAAAGATAACACCCTTATACTTGCAATAAAAACTTGGCCAAGTGCTACAAATGTTGAACGTTGTGAAATGATCCAGTTCCATCTTTGACGTAAACAAAGGTGAAAAATAAAGAAAAACCAATAAATGTGGTTCCTCCAGAAAGTTTTATAGTTTTAAATATTTTACTGTTTAATAAACATCCTGGATTAAAGAGAGTAAGCATGCTTCTTCAAAACTTTATCATTCTTCACTTCTGCAAATCATCTTTGAAAACTGAGAGCTTTCTTGAGTCGCTATTTTTCTTGGGAAACTTGGGCTTGCTATGAATAAAGACCTGACTCCTGGATGGGGCTGAAATTGATTCAAATGCAATTTTGAGTTGCCAAAGCCTAATTGTAAGTACCGACTTTTGAGACCTTTATCCCAACAAAGTACTGAAATAGATGCATCTCACCTGTCACAGAGGGGTCCCAGATGGCCTGGATTGCATTGCAGGCAGGTGACGGTGCCATTAATCACCGAACATGCTGCTGACTGGGCTTGAGGGAGGCCGCAGGGACATTCTGTACAGTCATTGGGTGTTCCCTTGGTTGCATCACCATAGAAACCATCAGCACACTGCTCACAATTAAATCCTGTCAAGTGAATCAAAGAATATTACCAAAACCTTTAGAGTCAATTAATTAAATTTGTGGATTGTAAAAATTTCATTTTCATTTAAATCTGCCTTTATTGTATGTCTAATACGACTGCCTTTTTACTGCTCAATACTGCAAAGACCTAGCCATCCTGGAATCGCAGAAACATTTCTAATTATGCATGCTAATAATGTTATTGAGGGGCAAATACACTGAAATTGTTGATGCCTTACCAGTGGTATTGTGGCTGCATTCTAGACACTGCCCAGTTTCAGGGTCACATGACCCACTGTGGCCATTACAATTGCATGCCACACATTCTCCAAAGAATGGATGACTGCTGACATTGGATCGTCGGTAACCCGTGGCACAATCCTGGAACAGAAGCAAATGGTCAGTTCCAACTTTCTCTCTGTAACCTCATACCAGTTTGGTGGCTTAAAGTGTATTTAGTGATGAGGAAAAAGATACGCTGTTTTGGAAAATGCAACCAGACAGCGGTACTGCCTGGGCATGGTTGAAATGGAAGAAAGGAATATTGATTTCCTTAAACAGTGGTGCATGGAGACATTACATGACGACTTAATTTGCAACGGCAGCTCTGCCTTTAATTAATAGGTCAAGCAATCATTCACTTTTGGTCCTGAGTGCCAGTGTCCAACAAAGAGATAGGGTGCTCCCATTGACCAATGGGACCCAAGGGCCATCGGCCACTGTAAAGACAATAATCTACACACAGCACACAGTATGCAAGCCTTCAAAACTTTCGTTAACAGTAACAAGTACAAGCGAACACAGAGCCAACACTCAGTGCTGGATCAGCATACATGTAATTACTCTACAAGTGGTAAACCATTAAACCATTAACCCTAACACTCCTCAGTCCTCCAGCAGGTGAAGGATTGAGGAGGGTTAGGGTTAACCAGTTTATTTTCACAAGAAAATATGCTTCACTGGCTATGTTGTAACCGAGTCATTTTTCTTCTGAAGTCCAGTCTAAGTCAAATTTTCCCAAGTCAAGTGTCAAGTCAAATTTTCGGCAAAGTCAAGTCAAGATTTCCCAAGTCAAATGTTAATTATTGTATGGGAGTAGTAGTTCTTTTCCAGCTGTTTATTAGTTTCTTCCCTTTATGCCTTCAGATCATGTATATGTATGGAGTATAAAGAATAATCGCTGCGCTGAACAATGAATGACACTACCTCTACGAATATGCACACATCAAGATCACAGTCATGTTTCATTGGTTGCCATTCACACTGCCTTTACTCACATGTTGGGAATGAAGGAAACAATTTGTGAAGTGTGAACGGTACTTACAGTACATTTACAAGTCTATTCAGTCTCTCTCAAGTGGTTTCCTTCATTCCCAACATGTAAGTAGAGGCAATGCAAATGGCAGAAGTCTGATCCACGGCTTAACAAGACTATACTCAAAAGCAGGCTATAGGAGTAGTGAGGTTATACCAAGATGAAAGAAAGGTTACTATTGATCATTCATTCGTGCAAAGAGATCCGAGAGTAATGCACACTCAACATTTCCCTGCACCTGTGAGTATCCAAAGTAATACATGCAAGGGCATAACCTGATGAAGTACAGTGTAGCTGTAGTTAGTAATTACAACAGTCCATGCTGTACTTTACATTCCAGTTTATTTAAAGTGCCTTCTGTCTTTTGTGTATCCTACCTAGTAAAATTTATAAGCTGCTTGAAAAAAATTGATTTTTATTCCGTAAACAATGCTGAATTCTCATGGAGGGGTTAGTATTTGTTTGTGTACCTCACAGGAATATCCTGAGTACCCAATGCCACAGCTGCACTGTTCCACGGAGAGTGCTCTCGCTGCCAAGGGGTTGTACAAGGGTGAATTCCTATCAGTGGCTGTGGAGTAAGACACTTCACCAATGCTGTAATGACAAGACAAAATAGTAACATTAACAACAAAATCAATGTAGTAATGTAATGTACAATCAGGAAGAAAAATGATTTTTTTAAATGCTTTTCAAAACAAATGCACCAAAACCAAAATGGACATTTCAGATGTGGCAAAACCGGTACTGAAAGGACCCATTCCATCATGAGAAAGTCAAAATAAAATCTGCAGAGGTTTTTGTCCATTCCAAATTATGGTCAGAAAATTTTAGCCTCTGGAAACTATTTCCCTGAACATCTCCCAATTAACAGTACCATGGTGTAAATTGTATATGTGGAAATGTTTTACGGGGGATGAAAAAATTGTTCAAAGACAATAAAGTTCCTTTAATCCACTAGAAATTTTCCCAACAGAGGGAAATTTCCAAACAACCCATTATCAACCAGGACACAGTGTGTGCCATCATACTGGAACTTTCCAGATAAGTAATAGTGTCCATCATCTACAGTGACATACCTGTCTGGAGTCTGATGGATAGAACTATTAATGACAATGAGTAAAAACATAAGGCTTCACTCAAGATGGAGCCTACCTCGACTGGTGGGTCACTACTGTGAGTGATGCCGACACAAAGATTCCCTCCACTGAGCTGAGGGTCCGCAAGAAATCAGACCGGTCCACGGACGCTCCTGAGCCCTCTATGATAAATTCCGTCTCGGTGATTTGTATGGAAAAGGCTTGCAGGGAACTCAATGGCACCATTCCCAGGCTACGTGTGTACGTATTCAACGGGCCCTACAAAGGAAGACAATGGACATAATTTGCTGGCAATTTTGCAGCAAACTGAGCAGGGGTTTATGGGGAAAATTCTTGTAAAAGCTTCTAAAGCCATATATATAATCTATTCTACACTTAAAGTTCCATAATGGACTGACATATGTATGTTTTGAAGCCTAATGATTTTAATAATCACTGAATACCCATTTCACACACAAATTGGAATACTTGTGTCTTTACATATTTGAACTTAGAAAGTTTGGCCAATGTCTGACATATTTACTCAGTCACGTATCATACACAAATGATGTATCGCAAGAGACGTAGACTAATTCACTTCTTTTCCTGAGCTGATACCTTCATATAAATCTTGGCCTCTTTGGCAACGGCAGCTCCCGGTGGACCCTGGGCCGTATAACGTACGGAGAACTGCAAGGGGCTTCCATACACGCCCAGCAGGTTGCCCGTCAAGGATGGCAACATCCAGAAGGCATCCTGACTCCCTTGAACTGTCACGGCAATGAAGTCTGTGTTGTTGAAGGGTGCTGCCATGGGTGCACCAGGGAAGGGGGCTAGCGTGGTGAGGTCCGAAACCAAGGACCAATTACTTAGGAGACTGGCGTCAGTCGGAAGGTTGTACTACAGAAATTGGAAAATGAAATTAATAAAAAATCATGGCTTTAGGAAGAGCAGTAATCAACTGATACTGTGAACATTCCCTTTGTCCTGCAATATTTTTGTGGTCATCTATCTTTGAAGTCTCACAATGTTACAGATGTAATTCAAACAATTCATGCCCAGAAACTCATACTTTAAGGGCATCAAAAAACATTGCAAGCAATACCCATGCAAGCCTCTGAAAGTGTACATATATACAGGTATACACACAATGTATGATGTACGCTTGGCATGTATGTTCACTTGAGATTTTAGTGGCTATGGCTTTGGCATTTGCTATAAGCACCCAACAGTGGATAGCCACAGCTTTAGACAGTGATACATACAGTATGGCACAGCCTGCAAACAAAGATAGACGACCAGAGCGTTGGTATGATGTCCAAGATGTCAGTGCAAGCCAACGACAATTAACAATTGTTGGGAAGCTGAATATACGAAATGTTTACTGCTTTAGAGTTTTTATGCTCAGCTTAGGTAACAAGTAATGATCATGGAAAAGTGAAAAAGTGAGTAACTCAGTTCACAGTCCTTCTTAATAATACCTGATTGATTGTATCCTGAGTGCTGTCGCATACTGCTGTGATTCCCATGCAAATGCACTGTAGACACCCAGTTTGGTGGAGGGGTGAATTGAAAAAGCTTCCAGGCGTGCAACTACCACACGTCAAACCTTCAGTCAACTCCTGATGGGGCAAGCAAAGGTAAACCATTTTCGGATGTGAAACAACTTCACCTAAACTCTTGCCTTAAATCTTTGAACTGAGTACTGAAGGACTTAGCTACTGCGGTTTAAATGAGAAGTCATATCAGATATTTGAGGCAAAAATTAGTCAGATGGAGCTGTTTCCAAGGATGTCAGTGTCAATATCCTTGCAGTGCGATTCTAAGTGGCAAATAAAAAGATCCTGTATTTGCGTCCTTGATGAGCAGGGCACATCGCTACAGCTCTTTCTCACCCATGATCAAAGCATTGATTTCGACCTGTTTTGCAAACATCTACATGTAGCAACCTGTTTGGCCGACAATTCAAACATACCTGCACCCCCAGCCTGTTTAACCGATAATTCAAACATACAAAGGTTGAAAATGAGCACCAAATTCTTGCATTTTGTGCACAGTATTTCACAGGTTGGGTATTCTCACTGAAGTCCAGCCGTGAAGTGAAGTAAAGTTTTCCTTGAATCAGTGCTTAGAAATTGCAGGTAACACGCAATACCCTTTAATGCATTGTTTCCTGCTGCTGCATTGGAGCTGGAACAGATGGTTGGAAACAACTTGATAGCATTTTTTGAAAAACTATGAGAACAGTGTTCTTGGGGTTTGTTCATTTCCTTTCCTTTTAAAAGCGAGTAAAAAGCCCCCCAAAAGAGGTACATGTACATGTATAGCGTCATCACTAAGAAAAGCCATAAAAGAAAACAAGAAAACTTTCCTAGTCCCCCCCCCAAAATGGTCCTGGATCTGCACTTGGAGACAAAATTTGGAGGAAACCAACAGGTGGTCATTAGCTGTGTTGTAACATTGACTAGGGAGAAAGACTGTACCTTGCATGGACACTGGCCTGTTGTCTTGTTACAGGTGGTCCCCAGACTGCCCGCCAGATCGCACTGGCATGTAGTGCAACCGCTGAAGGTCAATCCCTGAAAGCCATCCAGGCACTGGTTGCACCTCATGCCCCCTACCCCCAGTTTGCATGTGCACAGTCCCGTTGTCAGATCACACTGGGGATTAACTGACCCCAAGGGGTCACAGTTGCAGAGCTGGTGGGGTCAATGATTCAGAAAAATGAGAATAAAGAATCAGGTTTTGAGGTATTAGCAGCTCTATAGTTCAAAAAGCTGGTTGAGGTCAAAAATTTGAGCTGAGGACAAAAGTTAAAGATGCAATTAAGGAGCCCAATAGTTTAGAAAAAAAGAGATACTGGTCACAAGAACATTACAAATTATACATTATTATACATGTACAGTGTATAATGCACAATGTACTTTATTATGCATGGTCTGCATATGCATGGTCTGGTAGAGTTCTTTGGTTGTTACCAGTGCAGCACATTGACTGCTACAGGTATAGTTCCTCTGGCTGTGAAAAGCTAGATAGCAAATCTAGCGAATCACATGACTTGCTCTCAGCCAATAAGGAATATTAAGGATACAGGTTCTGTGTGTGAGGAGTTACAAAACGAATGAGAACGCATCTAGCTGAGTAGGCCTATGCGCACTTCTTGTAAGATGATGGAATAATGGGTGGATCCTATGGTGATTTCAAGTGATGCATTAGTGATAGTGTCTTCAACTGGTGTAGTATGAAATATTGTTCCCTGCACACAATGCTCTCCATAGCGAAAGAGTTTCTGACTGCACATACCTGACATCCATTAGTGCTGTCAAGTCCCCATGCAAATGTGACACAGCGATCACATCTCTGGCCAGCAGTGTTTGGGGAACAACCACACTGTCCTGTTGTCATGTCACAGACTTTATCATCCCCAAAGCAATTGCAGGCTGTAATAGAGGACAATTTTGAAACATGGCAAAATGGACTTCACTCCAGAAGATTTCACTCCAATCAATGGCCCAATGTCATGCCACAGCTTAGTTGTGTTTTCTATGGCAGAAAAGTGTGCAAGCCATAAGCACTATTTCATGGCCATGCTTGGTGCGATTCTACTTAAGGTTGCACGTGGATAAAGATTTCTATTGTTTTTTCACTACATTAGGTAAATTTTCCACCAACTCAAGCATACCTTTTGCCATGCTTACTGTATTCATGAAAAATGAAGAGCCTCTGTTAGCTTAAAATCTTGTGCTCATTTGCACCGTGAAACTGTGCCCAGATTTTTGCACAAATAAATTCATTAACAGCCTGATGAACTCGGCTATACCAACAAGTGTCCATCAAAAAATGTCATCTGTAAAAAGATATAAAGCACATCCCTTCACAAATTCCTTTATCTGTTAACCAGAGAAACAAAGAGAACATCATCAACAGACTTCTTAAAAAACAAGAAGGAATCACTGGTACTTAACAAATGGACACCATTCAATGGTAAATTCATAAGTATGTGTCAATCGACCACCTATGTATACAATGAGCCAGTTTGGTATCCCAACAGCACACATTCAGTATGTGGGAATAGCTACAATGCACACAATAGTCTGTCCTATCATTGTATAGCCATATGATTTAATATTCAAGCACATACTTTGTTCCCAAAAGACCTTGGCTTTTTGAAATACCAAACTGGCTCATTCAAGCAGTGCATATCATTCTTTATACATATTCCCTCCCCCTCTAAATAAAAAGAACAGAAACAAAAAAGGCCCAAAAGACAGACCAACGTACGTGTACATCCAGTGCTTCTGAAGGCATAAAATTCTGGTAGGCACATATCGCACATCTGGCCCCCAACACCAGGCTTGCATTCACACTGTCCACCGTACGACTCACACTGCAGTGTGACACTGCCGGTGGGGTTACAGTTGCATGGCATAGCCCCGTCAAAGTAGAACGTAGTCAAGGTGAACACGTTGGCAAGGCAGAACATCTCTTGACTTGTGCCAATTCTGTCAGAAAAAACAGGTTAGAATTCCAATAATTTCTGTAGTAGGACTCTAAGTTCTACAGATCCTGATGAAAAGAACTTTTGTTGTTCTGGTCTTTGCTGTGGTGTTTGTTGATAGTTAAAAACAATAAAGAACATATATGGAAACAAACAGCCATAAATTTGTGCTCCATGAAATTAAAGCATTTTCAGATCCTGTAGGCCCACAGAACATTACATTGCATTTTTTCAAAGATGAGACATCCTTTGGAAGGAGAAGGATGTCATCAAGCCTGCACTGGTTTTTGTGTGCTTGAGATGTACCGTGCTGAGTACGTGTGACTAATTTCTTGGAATTGGACAGCCTTTGCGTGTGATCACTCAATTTTGGTATGGACTTCCTTGCATAGCCAATTATGACATATTGCCCAGTGCATGAAATTTGGTTGGTCTGTATAACAGCCCTTTATGAATGCACGTTTATTACCACTATGTCTTTGGTAAGCAAGAAATCCATTAAAAAGAAACAATCCAAATCAAACTATTCATCATTGTTAGTGGGTGACTGCATGTCTGAGACAACTGCCGGTTCCCATTAGCTGCCTGGTTGATTGGTCAAAATTCAACTATTGCTCATTAAACCACAGTAACGGACATGCCTGCCATCATGGTTAAACTGATATAACCCCAAGCTCAATCAGATTTGGTGGAAGTCAGTTTCATCAAGCTGTCAGTCCAACCAGTTGCTGTACATGCACAATTTGGAGCAGACTGAACAAAAAGCCAGAGGAGGCAATCACCAGAGCAACTAGATTCCTTCTGATGGTCAAGAAACTGCTCCGACATTTAACACCTGTAAGCACAAGTTTCAGGAAAAGACAACATTGATGTATGGTAAACTGCCATTTCAATGTTGTCTGATCTTTTGACACAGGTGTGTCTACCAGCAGGGACATGAGGGAAGAAGCATTCTTCAGCGACATAAAGCACTACGTCAAGCGTGGTTTCCAGCCAAAGCCATTTCAGGAAAACAGAGAACAGAGGGGTCTCATATCTGAGCTTTACAGGACCTACATTTAGCAAGCCTTTTTGTTCATTTTGAAAACCAACCCAAGTAACAGTACTTAGCAATGAGTTCTTACTCATATTCCTGGGATGGTGGAAATTACCCTGTACTTGACACCACTTTCCTTTTAACTACCGATATAGTCACTGGCTTGCTAGCCACCTTTGGGAATCTCTTTAGTCTTTTAGTGATACGAGCAACGCCCGAAACCGCTGTTCCGGATGGCACAAAGGTGTTTATGCTGACACTGACATCCACTGATTTCTTAACTGGCACAACGTACATTATTAGTCTCATTATCCGAGCTACTGAGGTGAACAAGGCTGGCATTTTCATCTGCAAAGGGAATGCTGTTGTCCAGTTGGCACTGTTTGTGATGTCCATCTATGTGTTGGTCTTCATTGGAGTTGACCGCTATCTCGCAGTCACTCGCCCGCTACGGTACATTACTTTGATGACAAAGAGACGTGCCATTGTAACTTCATTCACAGTGTGCTTTCTTGCGATGGCATCTGCAGTGACAATCAGCAGCATATATGGAGTAATGTACGAGCCTTATATATTAGGCTGCTACCCCAGATTTGTCACCACTGACTGCACAGTATCTGCCGTAATCCACTTCACCATCATTCTTCTCCCAAATGCCATACTGGTGGGCATCTATACAAAATTGATAGGGGTAAGTCACCATCATGCAGTGCGAATTCGTCAACTACCAGTCACAGGTCACAGCAGTAAAGTCAGGAACGATCGATCACCCAACCCTCCTGAGGTGAGATCCTTCGCCGAACGGAAGGCTCTCCAGATGTTTCTGCTGGTGAACCTTGCTCTTCTTGTCACCTGGCTCCCACGATGCATCGCTGTTCTGCACACATGCTATGTGTATGACAAATTTGATTATACTGCTACAGTTTTGCTAGCGTTATCTTACTTCACTACAAGCAGTAGCAGCTGGGTCAATCCGATAATATACACACTCACAAGTAAGATGTTCCGTAAAAATGCTCTAAAATTGTTGAAGTGTTACCCAAACTAATGCACTGCACAATTTAGCAGGTGCTAATTCACACATATCATCAACATTTTCAGGAAGTGATGAGCATGTAGACTTTTCATAAACGAAAACTGTTTTTGAAATGATTGTGAAAGAAGTTCTGTTTTGAAAACTTCAGAAACAACTACTTTTAAACAACTTTTGCAGTAAGAAAACCCTGACATAATCCTTGAAAGGTAAACTTTCACATGAACCCAATAATTAGAGTGAACACAAGGGTTAATTATCCAAAGACGTGTGCATATTTACGTGTACACTTTTGAGAAAGTAACAAAAATGTCCATCCCTCAAAGAGGAAAACCACTTGACCCACATAAACTTTTGTACCTTTCTGGGCAACATGTTTAGCGTGTTCGAGGGGTAGGAATGTTTGTATTTCTTCATGAAAATGCAAACATTCAGTTCTCCTTGAACAACAGAAAGCCACCTTAATCTTTACATCAAGTGCTTTTAAATGGCATCGATTAGCACAGCTAAAAATGCTTCTTTCTGATGCCACAACCTGGGCTATGGTGGCACCAATGATCTACAGTACATGCAGTCTCTATTGAGGTTTCAAAACAAGTTTCTAACGGTTTTTGGCAGCTTCTCTGGTCTGATCTTTTTTACATTTAAAAAATTCCCTGGCTGTGCCACACAAAAAAAATGCACTACTCAAAAAAAGTTAAGGACCACTTTTTATTTTGTGTGCACTTTTTTATATGACGTATTTTACTGCTGAAAATGTGCATTTGATGCTTTGAAACACTTTTTACATTTTTTTTTCAATGAGAACACCATCTATACAAACAAAAAATGAAAGAACTAGACCCCACTCATTGCTTGGTAAAAAATTACAAGTTAACAATAAAGTGATCCTTAACTTTTTGATAGTGTATTTATTATTAATTTTGTTTTCAATATTTCACATCTGCAGATGGTTTAGATGGATACATCTATGTACAATATACATTTTCAGAAGAAGAATATTTAAACTAGTTTGAAGAACTATTCATGTTTTTCTTTTATCATATGGAAACACAGGCTTACGCGTGTCATTTGTAGCTTTAGTGAATAGACAGTGTGGGATGACCTGTTTTGTTTTCAACACAAGCACTTACAAAACACGAACAGTTAGAAAGCACTTTGGCTCACAAATTTAAACAATGTACCAGTGTTGTCCTTGAGTTCATTACAAGTCCCAGCAAGTCCATCACAATTCATTACATTAAGCCAAGACACAAGTTAATCTAATGAACTGTGAAAAGAACACATCCTTGTCATCGTTCACCGTGTTTATGACTGATCTTGTGAAAGGACTTGTGAAGTGACCTGTGACAGAGTTGACTAAATGCTCTGTCACCATTGAATTCTGTGTAAAGTTGAAAGGCAGTTCTTGCTCTGTTACATTACAAAAATTATAAGTGATGTTTTTTAGTTTCAGTGTTTCCCTGTACAAGTACATAAAAACGTTGTGGTTGTAAATCTGTAGTTGTTCTGTGAGTTGAATGGCTTATCATGCTTCATAAATACCGAAGCTCAATTCTCTACAAATAAATGTACTTGCACTAGAAATGGCAAACTTATGGTGCGGCTATCTATTCCTTAGTGATCATGGTGGTTTAATACTTCTATACCATTGTATTTAAAACAGGACTGGGAAGCGACATCAAATAAAACCTGTGATTAAAAAAAATGATTATTTCCATTCATGCACATTATAAAAAAATTTGGTATTTTTTCCACTGTTTTATCAATGGCATTAAGCGGGCAATGTATATATACATGGTGCATCAGGCTCTTCGGCAAATACTGTACTTGACAGGTGTTTTGCTTGCATTACATAGCTAAATCAGTGTGAACATGCTGAATACATGTACTGCCTGTGCCACATGATATGCACCACGCCCATTCAAAAGGCTGTACTGTATAATTCCACTTTTGATATTATTTGAAGCCTAACAGTTAATACATGTAAAGACGTCTTTCCATATGCACCTATTTTGGGTGCGTAGCGTACACAATGTATTGTTTCACTTCCAGGGACAACAAAAACAGACTCCATGAACATAAAACACATGTGCATTGCGATCGGCTGTCAAAATCGACTCGGGAGCCAATTTGACCGATACCCAACACTTGGCGCAAATGTTGACGTGCATGTGGAAAGACATTAAATCAAATAGTATTCTGGGAACAAACACCAAGACCTTTGGAAAGACGCAGGAGGGTAGGACAAGATTCCCAAGCAGCAATATGTAAAATAAGTAAACTAAATCTCTGGAGATGCTGTGACTGTAGTGACTGCATTCATACTTGAGTTCTCAAAAGTTATTAAAATTGTCAAAATGAAACTCGCACATATCACCTGCGAAGAACACGGTACCAAAGTAGTCATGGAGTACAGTGCAAAGAAAATTGACTGCAGCAGGATTTGAACCTGCGATCTTTGGCATGCCACACCTGTGCTCTACAAACTGTGCTATCCATCCCTGTATGTGGTGCTCAACTTGAAGGACTTTAAGGAGTACTACACAAAGTTTTTTCTGCCAAGTTTTAAAGACTGGATGGTGAAAAAAGTCAGCATTCACCTAGCCACGGAAAACTGAGAGAACTCGTGTGGACTGCATTTAATTCACAAATTACAATAACCGAACCCCTGTACAGATGCATTATAAATGATGACAAAAGAACCATGTTGCCAATGTTTACTACACAAGGATGGCTGTAATTAATAATCCGCATGTAAATTACAAACAAATCAGTCACTGGACACTAGACATTTTAAGGGAATCTACCAGCAACACCAGTGGAAAGGTTTTGAAAATGTTAACAATTCTCTTTCATAATATTGCACCTGTTGAATACACATTATTGACTGGCAACAAATTCATGTCTGGAACAAATGATACAGGTGTTGTGT